TCCAGGGTTGGCCCAAGGAAAGCCGGCAGCCTCGGCCTTTCCTTGGGCTGATCCTAGAAGTGGAGGACGTCTCCGTTTCCAGGGTTGGCCCAAGGAATGGCCGCTGCGGAACGGATTAGGGCATTTCAATGTTAAATTTGCTTCTACTTACGAAATTTTCTACCTACAAAATGGGTTGTGGAACGGATTAATTTCGTAAGTAGAGGTACCACTGTATTGGAACTTCTGCATAGTGTATCATGCAGGGTGGGAATGAATTATGACAGCAAGCACTGTCCCTTTGCCAGGAAGACTGTGGTCAGGGTGACCAGATGCCATAACTGCAAAGGAGGAAAAGGCACCCCAAAATGTAAGACATTCTAGAAAAATGTAGTACATTACAAAATAAAAGTTGAAAATACTAATATAAATGTAAATTCATGCTTCTTAGTCATGCTCAAAATGTGCATAGGTGCATTGGAGTTGTGCAGGCAAATGTGCATACAGTGGGATGTGGGGGCTGCTGTCTCCTCTAGTTTCTGGAAGGATTGCCCTGAAGAGAACTTGCACGCTGTAGTCATCAGCCAGTGACCCTGAATGTATGATTTCACCTTGCCCGTTGTTTTCAGAAGCATGTCTTGTACTTTGGACTGCCTCACTGTACCTTTTAATACGTAACAAGAAGAGAAAACTCATGGTGGTGCTGAGACTAGGCCTGTGATTCTGCTTGGAAGGGTTCCCAGTGTAATCAAAGAACACGCTTTCAAGGTTGCATTCAAAGTCAGCAGCTGGCTAGGTTTTGTTGGGAAACAGATAGGGAGAAAATCATATATAAAGTGGCAGGTTAAGTGGATGCTTTCTCTGTTAAGTGGATGCTTTCTAACAATGAGATGGTTCAGTCGCTGGGAGATCTTATACTTTAAGAATTTCTTTGTCAATCGCTTTAGAATACAAATATTAAGATACAATTACAGGTTAAGTCTCCCATATCTGGACTTTCAAAATATGAAATACTCCAAAATTCAAAATTGTCTGCATGGGTGGCTGAGATTGTGGCACCTTTGTTTTTTGATGCTTTGATGTACACATACTTTGTTTTATGCACAAAATTATGTATATTACCTTCAGGCTACATGTATATAAGATGTATATGAAATGTAAATCAATTTCATGTTTAAACTTAAGTCCCATCTCCAAGATGTATATGCAAATATTCCAAAATAAAAAAATTATATAATCCAAACACTTCCGGACTCAAGCATTTCAGATAAGGGAGACTCATACTGTATTTAAAAAGTAACCTATATACTATATGTTGCCCTCATGTATAAGTCAAGGGCAGGTTTGGGGGCCAAAATTATGGATTTTGATATGACCCCATGGATAAGGTAAAACTTAGGGGAATGTAACAAAAGATCTAAAGGATGAAGCAAAGGAAAACAATGTTAAAGAACATATAAAATTCCAGCAGGCATCACTTCTTGTTGGTCAAGGTACCTGGCCGGGTGGAAACCTAATGTTGGAGTTTAACTACCCTTTCAATAGCATGGAAAAGGAACTGCTTTTGGAAAGATTTTTTTCTTTGTTGGGAAGAACTAAGCAGCTGAAAATCCCTCCTTGGTATAAGGGGGCTGGAGGTGTCCTAAGAAGGTCTGGTTCTTGCCAGAAGGGATCTGGAGAATACCAAGGTATCACAGACCTGAGAAAGGAGGAGACTGTAGGGTAAAACACAACCACATGGGGGAAGTCAAATAGATGA